CTCTCTCTCTCTCTCTCTCTCTCCCTCTCTCTCCCTCTCTCTCTCTCTCCTCCCTTCATCTCTCCCTTTGCTACCCATCTCTTTCCCGCAGCAGCGGGCACCACAGCCAACTCCAACGCCGGCGCCATGAACTCTCTGACCTCTCTGGGCACCCTGCAGGGCCTGGCAGGCGCCACTGTGGGCCTGAACAACATTAATGCACTAGCAGGTAGCATCAACAGTGAGTATTCACCCTGCCATCATCAGCCACTCCACCGTCACTTCCTCTTCATACACCCCCAGCGGCAACATTACTGCAAAAAACAAAAAAACAACCTGTGAGTCGATGCAGAGAGACGCAGAGTCACAGGAGCCAAACAAGGCAGGAACAGAGATCGACTTATGATGGCTTATGAAGCGTTTGAAATATCTTATATTGAATCTATTTTTAGAAACAAGGAGTCTCCTTTAAATCAACATAAAGGCTGTTTTTTTTCTTTCTTTAAAACATCCAAAATGCTTCATTAGATAAATAAATCAGAGTAAATCCAACAATCCATGCAGCAACTGGAAGATTTTATTTGGCATTTATATTTTGACTTTTATGAGGTTTTAACTAATCCATAACTTTTTTTGTAGTCTGTATTTGAGGAAACCAAAAAGATTGAGATCTCAGATATTGACAAAACATTAGAAGACGTAAACATTTAAAAGAATAAAAAGCACGACGAACACATTCTGAACTCTGCTTGTTTGCTTCTTCCTGCCGTCTCTCTGCATCGCACTAAATAATCTGTCTTCATTCTCTCAATAACGGCTCTCTTTATTTATTCATCTGACTGAAAAACATCTCATCCATCCATCCCTCCTCCATCTGTCCATCCATCTCTCCATCCATCTCTCCATCCGCTTCCTGGTTGTGTGCGGGTCGTGCCTGCTGTTAAAGTGCTGCTGCGTCTCTGTCTGGGCAGAGCTGGCGTGCTGATGTCACTTCCCTCGACGTCATTGTTTCACATGTTGTTTTGTTGTCGGTTGAACACGGGGTGATAAAAGGGCACATTTTCAACTTTTTATCTAACTTCTAAAATATTTCATAATGTTCTCTTTGGTGATTTAGCAAAACAAAATAATTGTGATTACTTTTGTTTATTTTATTTTTTATTTTTTTTAGAATCACACATTCACAGGCATATTGTTAATTTGTGGTTAGACAATAGAGTGATTCCTCTTTTCACCTTTTTGTAAGTTTATAAAGAACAAAATAAATCAAATAGAAAAAAATAATAAAAATAAATAGAAAAAAATAAAATAAGAAGACAAAAGACATGGGGCTGATTTTCCACAACAAATACAAAAATGAAGCATACAGCGTTTCATAACTAGAGGAAAACCAGATTAAACAAAATGAGGGAGTTTAGGGGAGATATAGGATTAATCCAATTAATCCAGAGGTCCTGAAATGTATTTTTCTGAAGCTCCAGAGAAAAAGTGATCCGTTCTATTATATAGATTTCATAAATCATACCAGTCTTTCACTTTCAATTGTGATTCCTGCATGGAAATTTTGAAAAATTACAATTTTCCTGCAAAAAAAAAGTGTGCAAGAATTAATTAAGCCTAAATTCCACCAGATTCGTTCTCGGTCTGTGATAGATTTTCACTTTATTCAGTGTGTGCTTCCTCTGGCTCCGCCCCCCGCTGCGTCTCAGCTCTGTCAATCCGGAGCGCTCTGCAGCAGATACGCAAAGCTTCTAAAATAAGATAATCCTTTATTTATCCCACAACGGGGAAATTTACGGTGTTACAGCAGCAAAGAGAAAAGAATGCAAACAAAAAGTGAACACAGTACAATTTGAATAAAAAATTAAAAGGAAAGATGTACAAAAAATAGATAGATACCACAATATAGATTTAAAAAAAATAGATCAGCTGAGAGCTGCAGTTTTGACAAAAATGTAGTCAGAAAAAATGATGCCGGAACACATTAAAACATTATTTTCAGAATAAAAGACTCCGTTTTGCCGGTTCTGTGTGTGTTGTGTGTGTGTGTGTGTGTGTGTGTGTGTGTGTGTGTGTGTGTGTGTGTGTGTGTGTGTGTGTGTGTTGGCTCCCCACCGTGTGTCCTGCCTCTGACCTCCGGGGAGACGGGTTGGGATCTTAATCAGAGCTGTTATTACAGCACAGATCGTGTACGAGCGGCCTCTTCCCTCCACATTATTCTCCTCTGACCTTTATGCTCCTCGGCTGGAGTAGCTGTATCCGCCGTGTAAATCATAAACGCAGAAACACACACACACACACTTGTCTTTTAAAACGAAATGGGTCGCTCTAGTTTAGCATCCCATTTTTTTCCCCTGACTAACCCTTCTCTCCTCACTGCCCCCTCCTCATCACCCCCCCTCCCACCACCAACCCGCCCTCATTTAAACACATCTAGGCCCTTAATTGAATTGCAAAGGTCACCGGTGCAATTATTCCTGAATAAATGAGTGACCTATAATCCGGAGCTCCGTGGTGATAATTTATTTCACTGTGTCTGACGGCGAGGCGACAGGATGCCGAGCCAATGTCAGAGCCCCCTCAGACAAGTTGCCCTCCGCCGTGATATTAAGCCGTTACAAGCAGCTAATGAGTGTTACTGCCGCGTTCCTTCACTTTTGAAACTAGACCACCGCCTGTTCTCCCCCCTAACCCCCACCCCCCGTCCGTCCTCGCTCCACGTGCCTTCTCTCCCCCTTAAAGTGAGACGTCAGACCGTTGTTGATGTTTAACCTCGCTAATTTCTGAATGTATGGAAACGGAAATATATCCATGTAGGGCAGTTAGAAGAATTGTGTGATGCTATGCTAATGCACATAATGTGAAATTCAGTATTCACCAGATTTGCAAAAAAATTTTTAACAATGTGTAGGCACGCATTGCCGGTTAAATGTAGTGTCTAAGCTGTAATACAGCCTCCCGCCACTAGATGGGGCTGTAGCTTCCACTCTACTGCCTGTATAGTATCACATAGGAGCATATATTAATACTAATCTGGGAGCGCGGGATAGCCTAGCAGAGCCATGTACAGAGGCTATAGTCGTCATCGCAGCGGCCTTGGGTTCGAATCCGACCTCTGACCTTTGCTGCATTTCATCTCCAACTCTCTCCTCCAGGCATTTCCTGTACTTTCCTGTCCGCTCTTCAGCTGTCCCATTAAAAAAAAAAGAGGCAAAAATAAAAAATACAAATAATACAAACTGAGCGATGGAAATATATAAACAAAAGTTCACATTTCGAAATTGTCTATGATTATTTGCAGAGGGAACCAATAGTCTCTAGACACCCAGAACAGCCATCTTGGATTCTGAAGTCAGGATTGTCTCACTCAAAAACATGTATAGCCATATTTTTGGAAACATATTGTGTAAACTGCTGATTTAGGGGGTTGCTCCAGTTGAGATTTGTACTCGCTAGCTCAAAAAAAAGGCAAAATAAAAGATAGAAAACATGTTGATTGTTCAAGAAAAAGTCAGTTAAACTTCCTTCTTTAGGTTTCTTTGGTTAGACGTGCTTCAAAAAAGTAAAATACACCAGAAACAGATTTAATGAACACCTGGGGGTCAATGGAGGACGCGTCCCATAGGGAGCTGAAAATCTCAGCTACACCCCTGCTACTGTTACAAAGTGTGTTATTGTGATCATTGCGTTCTCTTTCACTGTGTGTCGGTTTATACACATTACTGTTTCTGTCTCTGTGTGTGTGTGTGTGTGTGTGTGTGTGTGTGTGTGTGTGTGTGTGTGTGCGCTTGCCTCGCTGATTTAAAGGATGTGTGTGTGCAGCTCTGGCTGTCATCAGCTACACTCATACTGTACTTAAATGTGTGTGAACTAATTCAGTGTGTGTCCCGTGATCTGAGGTGTTGGACGTCATGTTTTGTCTTCTGTGTGTAACGTGATGTGTGTGTGTGTGTGTGTTTCTCACAGTACAGTCTCAGTATATGTGTGACGTCGTGTGAGTATTAGTGTGTATGTGTGTGTGTATGTGTGGTAATAACACAACCTTCAGTGGGAGCGCTAACGAGTAAGTGCACTCTTCTTTCTTTATTGTTGGGTTTTATGTAAAGTTGCTCAAATGCTCTCAGGTATGGCGGCTCTAAACGGAGGCCTGGGCGGCGCAGGGCTAACCAACGGGACGGCGGGCACCATGGATGCGTTGACGCAGGCTTACTCAGGGATCCAGCAGTATGCCGCCGCAGCGCTGCCCACCCTCTACAGCCAGTCGCTGCTGCAGCAGCAAGGGGCCGCAGGCAGCCAGAAAGAGGGTCAGTAGCTCGGGGGGAGCTTTCTGTGTGAACATCACTGACGCTCGGTCGGAGAGAGAAAACATGATTTCAGTGTTTCCTCCAGGGATTTATTCACCCTGCCGAACAACAACAAAACCATCATGAGACTCTCAGCTGGAACAAACAAAGATAATCATCATGATGTAATATTAATCGATTAGTGTCGAGTGAATACCTCGGACAGTCAGCGTAATGTCGATTATTCATACAAACAAACTGAAACCGGTTGAAAAAATGTTGCCTGCAACAAATCATAAACCTCCTCTACAGGCAATAATGAGAAAAAGCACAAATTGGATGTGGTTTAAGAAGAAAAATTGCCGGACTGCAGGATGCTTTTGGAGCGCTTGCCGTTTTATGCTGATATGTGATTTTTTGATCCAGCAGATGTCGCCCTTGAGCACCAGCATGAAACCAAAACAACTCGCGCTGCATTGTTGTGTTAGCATGCTAATGCTAGCGATCTTTATTATGCTGGTATCTTCACACTGCATGTAAATTTACCTGAAATGAGCGTGATCTAGAAACACAGTTAAGCAGTGAGTACAGTATGTTATTCTTCTTTTCTCTAGTCCCTCAATTAAACAACTTTTATACACGAGGGGAGGAGTCAGCCGGCCGTCCCGGCGATGTAAACAAAGTGAAGATAGGACTCTGAAAACTCTGAAAACATCACAGACAGTGGGACTCGGGTGTTACACCCATTGTAGACAGTCATGACTCACAGAGTTATTTTCAGAGGATATACTGATTTATATTATATTTAAGTGTGAAAAATCACATATAGGGTTAGGGTTAGGGTTTAAAAAGACTTAAATCTGCATATTATCTTAGAGACAAACTTGGTCTTGTCTCTGGTCTCGAATAACGCTGCACTAGTGCAACTTGATTTGTAACATTTCGACGTAACTCTTTTTCTCTCTACTCTCCAAAAAGCACAAAAATAAAATCCAGCGCTCCTCCGTCCTCTGCCTGATCCCTCATACTCTACATTTCTGTGAAAACGGTCATCATTGTGGCTCCTTTTATTCTCTCCTGGAAGAGAAAATGTAAAATATAAGCAAGTCTGAATATCAGAGCCGTTTGCAGGCGCCACCTCCGATCGCAGAGGGCTGACAGTTGAGGTTAAATTCCCCCCCGAAAAAGCTTTTCAACAAAAGTGCTGAATACAAAAGAGATGATGAAATATTTAGTGAAAAGAATAAAGCCAACACACTGTTTGTTTGTTTGCCCGCTAAACAAAGATCCATTTCGCAAAAGATGCTTTTTATTTCTTTGTCAATCACATCCAGGAACTGAAAAACCCTCCAGGGAGAAACACTGAGCCACCTTTGACCCCTCTTAAGAGCGACGACGTGCAGCCCGAGAGAATGAATGAATCAAAAGTGAGCGAGGGAGCAGAGCGAGCAGAGCGCCGATGTATAATTATTAAATGAAAACCAAAAAGCTTTCATCTTTGTTTAATGCTCAACACAATCACAGAATCTCCTTTAAAAGCAATAACAAGCTCAAGGTCGGCCGATACTGTGCTAAGCGGCGTGCTTCAGCCGCGTTCCTATGACGACAGCTACCACAGTGTCAGCCCCCCCCCCACAATGCAGCGCCACCGCCGCCGCCACCGCCACCTCTCCTGCAGGTTTGATTCACAGAAAATAAAACGCACTCTGACCCTCACACCCGATCTGCATCTCGTCCCCCCTCCCCAACAGGTCCCGAAGGTGCCAACCTGTTCATCTACCACCTGCCCCAGGAGTTTGGAGACCAGGACATCCTGCAGATGTTCATGCCTTTCGGAAACGTGGTCTCCGCCAAAGTCTTCATCGACAAACAGACGAACCTTAGCAAGTGCTTCGGTACGGCAGCAGTGCAGGTGTCGGTGTGTGTTTTCTGTGAAAAGGGAAACACACATTGAAGTCTTCTATTTTTTGTTCTCAGTTCAGGGGCACAAAATAAAAACCCTCTGAAGGATGCCGATCACAGTGTCGGTCCTTCAGAGCAGACGTGTAAAATGTTCATGCCGCGTAAAAAAAAAAAAAACAGATTCTGAAACATGAAAAGCATCGACCTAAAGGTTCAAGTCTTTATATTCAAATAAATACATTGGAATAAAACAATTTGGTGAAAGTAGCTGAATTAAAAAAAAAAAAAAGTAAGAAAGCCTCGTTTTACAACCTCACCTTCCATCCCTCAAATGGGACAAGAGACAGTCCTGATTTTAAAAAGAAGTTGGGAATATTTTGTTTGTAAATCTGTGATCCTGTGAGTACGCAGGGATTTGCAATCTGTGTGCACAGTTTCCTAATCTTGTACCAAGGTTGTTATAGTTTGGGAGTTTTCAATACTTTTTATGTACATTTAATTTTTCAGATTTTTTTGGGGGGGACGGCTTTTCTGCCTTAATTTAAAGACAGGACACAGTGGGTAGAGTCAGGGAGAGAGAGAGAGAGAGTGGGGGATGGCATGCAGGAAAGGAGTCATGGGTCGGATTTGAACCCAAGCCACCCGGCCAGCTTGTAGCAGGCTCCATACTGCGTTTTCCTTGCGTTACTTGTTTTCCTTATTACGAAAGCAACCTTGCACAGTTGTGAGTTTGTGGGTACGGCTTCTTAAACCGTGAGCGCGGCTTTGCTTTCCAAATTGCAAATCCGTGCTCACGGTTTTACAAATCTGTGCGCACAGATCCGTACAAGTGACTTTCATCACCTCGAAAAAGTAAAACATTTTAAATTGCAAATATTCATGTAAATATTCACCGCTCCTGTCTTATGGAGCCTCATTTTTTGTTTAACTAAGTAACACTTTGGAAGAAATGAGGAAATTGCGGAAACTGACACCATAAAAAGTGATCCCTCCAACCCTGATTCGATAACCTCTTCAACTCAAAATACCTGCTGAGTTTTTTCCTGTACTTCCCTCCAGTACATCCATTGTTCTGAGTTGATAAGGACAGTTTGGGAGGTTTTTCGAGGCCTCTAAATGTTTGGGTATAGAGGTTACATCTTTAAGAAATGAGACAGGCCTTGTTGACTAAAAGGAATCCTGACACAGCGTTTTTCTACCTGATGTCAAAAAAAATAAAAGCAAAAATCCTTCAAATTCAGCTTGGAATGCAGATGAGTGTATTGTAGTTTTTTCCTAAATTTGCATAGCGTTTGTCCTTGTTGACAACAGAAGCTAAATATAATCCGTCTCCGTTCCTCGTGTAAGCGACCGAGGGAAGCAGAAAATAAATCAAGCGTGGATGGGGAGCAGGAGCGGCACACAAACAGACAGCAGCGATACTTGTCAAGATTGTGAGGATGGATGTGAGACAAGCGAGACGAGCAGTTTACTGTCAGGCTGCAGATAGAGGAAGTGAAGTGTGCACGAGGACGCACAATAAAACAACACAACATAAACGCCTTTATTTGGACATTATCACCCACACTGGCCTCCTTTTTAAAAAAAACAAGACTCCTGATGCTCCACAGTGCTAGTGTCCCTGTTTGTTTTACTATTTTATACATGCAATTGAAGCGAGCTTTAATTCTTTTATTACTTTGTTTATGAACAAACCCGACTCTCCCCCCTCCAGGACTCATTAAAGTTTAATCTCTTTCTCGTCGTGTACCAGGGGTGTATTTTAATGTAGATGTAAATGCGATCTCAAGATGCACAAACACAATGAGAAAGCCTCACGTTGTCCTTAAACACCAGTTTATTATGACGCCTTCATTTAGAGAAAGTTAGCTTGCTGTAAATAAAGGAGACCATTTCAAGGAGAAGTCTGTGAGACGGTTACGGAGGGAAATCTGAAGCTGTAGTGGGTCCCAAAAACAAATTAAAAAAAGATATAAAAACCTTTTATTAGAGACCTAGAGCTCCAAAGTTAGGACGTTTAATGTAGTCTGTTCAACATTACATCCAACATCTTGGATATGTAGCAACATTAGCGACATTAGCTAGAAACAGACACAGAAAGAGGCGGCTGCCCGTAGCCACGACAAGATAAACCCGCCCTGCTTACAGTTTTCACAAACAGCTGAGCTCGCTTAGACCAACATGAAGGCTCTTGATTCATCCATCTTGATAATTTAGCTGGTCATGTAAACAGACGTATTCCAAATGTTGAAAACAAAACAAACAAAGCTGGCGGATCAGCGTCAGTAACAAGATTAAGCTAAACTGAAGCCTAGCCTCCTAGCAAACAACGATAACATGCTAGCACTGCAAAAACTCAAATCTTAGCGAGTTTACTTGTCTGATTTGTCGTGAAAATTTTTAAATAAACGAGGTTTGAGTAGCTTGTAATTTGAGGACAGCCTGGTTACGTTGGCTAGCTAACATTTCCTCGCTTGCTATGTAAGCTAACCTGTTAGCGATTTTAACAACCGTGTTCAACCATATGTAAACAGCAGCGGCTCTTTTTCATCCATGTAAACCCGTAGCAGTGGTTTGCCACCAGTTTGCTCGCACATTTGAAGGTTATTTCAGGAATTCCTGATATCTTGACAAACTTAAAACGCCTGACAAGTAACTTGGAGTAGCCAATCACATGACAGCGCGGTTAGATTAAGCAGAACTATGCTAATGCACAATGATAGCTAGTTCACTAGCTTGCCAGTTAATTTCTCTTGGTTTACGTTAAGGATTGGTACCAACTGGGGCTGTCGAACAATTAACCTTCTATAGCTATTAAAGCTGAAATTCATAGCAGTGGATCCCATTTTTAATCCAATGCTACTTATCTTAGCTAAACTACAGTGCACCCAAAGGGACAAAATAGCACACGATTGATGTGTTTAAAAAAATAATGCATTATTAGCCTTTTCCTCTGTGTTTTGAGTCCGTCTGCTTCCATGTTTTCACCAAGTATCCCCTTCTCTGTCATGCCCCCCCCTTACAGGCTTTGTCAGCTACGACAATCCAGTGTCGGCACAGGCAGCCATCCAGGCCATGAACGGCTTCCAGATTGGCATGAAGCGGCTGAAGGTGCAGCTGAAGCGCTCCAAGAACGACAGCAAACCGTACTGATCTTAGCACTAGGGTCTATCTGCTCCCCCATGTTAGCACTGCTAGGGTAAGTCCCCCCCTCCCCTCCCCCGACAAAGAAACAAAAAAATGAAAGAGAAAAAAAATAGCAAACCGAGCCACGACCTCTCTACACAGGGACTCTGCGGGGAGGGTGGGGGGGGTGGGGTTGATGGGAGGGAAAAGGGAGGGATGTGGGAGGGAGGGGGAGACGACCTACAACCACTCTGAGGGAGACACACACACGCCTTGTTTTAATTTTTTTTCTTGCTTTTTTTTTTTTTTAAAGATTTTTAAGTTTGCTTTCAAGTATTATTTATTACGATTATTTTTTTTTTCTTTTTACGCACATGAACGCTTCCATTAACCGCCATTACTTTGTGCAATTTTTATTCTTTTTTTTTTTTTACGATGGAAGGAAGTAGCTATCTCTCAGCTACAAAAAAACGATCTTTCTCAGTGATTATTTAAACATTTCTTGAGGACATTACAGTCAGAACTCGAGGTAAAGACAAAGGAGCCATAAAAGTTTTTCCATTTTATTTTGACTTTTTTTTTCTCGTCGTGAACCTGACACCTGGTGAAAGTTTTTTTTCCTTTTTTTTTGACGCGCATGCAGATATGCACATCGGCCCGTCGCGCTCTGCGGTGTTGGTTGCAGGCCGCCGCCGCCGCTGCTGCTTCTCCAAAAAAAAAAACGCCTGCTGGTTACCCGGGGAGCAAAACGGCTGCGAAACATTAGTGGCCTCTTTACATTTGAGCGAGGGGCGATGTCAGCGATGCCCGCCGCTACAGATACAAAAAATCCACCACCGCAAGAAGAGAAAAAAAACACACACACTCCAGCTACGTCTTCTTATTATTATTATTTATGTGAAAATATAAAAAGTTTTTTTTTATTTCTCAGAAAAAAATAATCAGCGAGTCCTTTCTGGGTCAGATCACATTGGTCTTTGACGTGAAGGAGCATCTTTTAAAAAAAAAACAACAACCAGAATTTGATGAAGGCGACGATAACAATTCTAACGATACGTTTAAAAAAAAAAAGTTTATGGTTTAAGGTGGTCACTGAAAATACTTGATGTTTGTTGAAAGATTTAAAAAAAAAGATAATGATAATTCAAAGTACAGAGAGCCACAGGCCTGTAAATTTTATTTGTAAAAAAAGCAGTTCTATTTTTATACAACATTTTTACTGCCTCAGATGAAAAAAAAAAGGATTTTATTTATTGCCTATCGTTAAGTTATTGGACTCCTCTTATAAAGTATTACAGCATCTTTAACGTAGACCCTTTGTGGAGAAGTCTCGTGGAACATTTTGGGTTCTCCGGTGTGTTTTTTTTTTTTGTTTTTTTCTCGTCATGTTGTTTCAGTGCAGAAACCACGATCACGACACGCCTCCGCCGCCATAAAGACACGCACCTTCACCTCCTCCTCTTCTTCTTCTTCTTCATTATGTCATTCATCCACACACACACACACACACACACACACACACACACACACACACACACACAAATCACTCTGTGCTGTTCATCTGTCTCTCTCTCTTCCTCTCTCCATCCGTAGTGGGACTACTTCCTGTCAAATTCGTACCTTTTTTTCCTCGCATTTTACACGTTTTTCGTTTGAGTGTTTATGTTTTTTGTTTGTTCGTGGACTCCCCCCCCAAAAAAAAAACATCTCCAAAGATTTTTGATTTTTTTAAAGGATGAAATTAAAAGACCCCCCAACCTTTAAAAAGAAAGTATAATTTACTCCTTAAATCACGGCGGCCATCTTGGATCTGATGGATTCAGTTTCCAGTGGGTTTTTTGTGAATTACTGACTTGAGTGTGCAGATGCGAGCGTCGTTTCTCCGTGATTAAAAAACCTATAACCTATTTTTCAAAAATCTGAGCTAGAAATTCGTGAGTCGTGTCGCTGTTCTGCATTGTTGTTGTTTTGTTTGTTGTTGTTGTCCAGTTGTTTTTTTTTGTTTTTTTAGTGCTGTGGTGCTCTCTGGCTCTCTGTGTGTAACTCTCTCTCTCTCTCTCCTCTTGTTTTTTTTTCTTTCCCCCGTTTAGAACAACCTTCATCTCCATGCCTGTTATAGCTCATCGTTTGCCTCGCATGTCTCCGTGGCGTCCTCCCCCCCTCTCACACACACACACACACACACACACACACACACACACACACACACACACACACACACACACACACACACACACACACACACACGAACTTTGAACAGAAAACAAAGTGTCATCGTCCTCCCCGTCATTGTTTTTTCTGATGTCTTTTCCGAGCTCACCTGATCCTAACCTGGCCCTCCTCCTCCTCCTCCGCTGCCTACTGACCTTTTGACCTTTTTTGGGATTTTTTTTTACTTCTTGTTTTTTGCTTTTTTTTGTTGTTTTTATGCATGTGACCTCATTTGGATCCGGGAGGGTTTTCAGGGAGGCGATACACAAAATGGGAGGGGGGGGGAGGAGGGGTCGGGTGAGAGAAAAATGAATCAATGTGAAAAAGATATAAAGCTGCATTCATACGAAAAACACAAAAAAGACTGAGATTTTTATGGAAAAAAAAAAACACATGTTCCTTTTCTTTTTTTTTTTTTTGAAGAAAAACAAACACAACAAACCTGTGGCAAAGTGATTTCCATTCAGTATGTTTTTTCTTCTTCTTCTTTACGTCCGATTTCTTTTTTTTTCATTTCAAAAGTAAACTTGAAAGTTTCAACGCAGGAATTGGCGCCTCATCTTGCTTCTGGCGCCACCGACGCCGCCGCCGAAAAACAACACAAAAAAACCCCCAAAACACACACAAAAAAAAAAAGACCGATGTGCGGGTCGGTTCCAGAAGCAGTCGGCGCCAGTTTCTCTGAGAAATAAGACTACTTCCAAACAGTTTTGAAGTCAAAAACTGTCTGATCAAATATTCGACTCTCTCTCAGAGCTCTCCAATGGTTTTTACATTTTTCAGGCAGTGTAAAGTTTTTTGATAAGGCCATTTTAAGTGGCTCTGTTTCTCATTCAAAGTCTATATATAGAACCACTTTTTTCTAGAGTAGTTTAAAGGGTTAAAAAAAAAAAAAGACAAAAGACCCTGTTTGGGGGGTGGGAATAAATGCTACCTACTTGTGTCACCTTTTGCTGAACTGACTCACAGATAGACAATCCGTGGTTTCAAAATGCACATGATGAAATGACCTATATTTTCTACTGTTTAAATGTATAGAGGAAAAAAAAAAAGAACTAAACTTAAAAACCAAGCGTACTAAGATTTACCTGTAAAACCTGCGTTACCGTCGGTGCTTCTCGTGAGTTTAGTTGTGGTTTCATCACAAGTCTACCGGTCTTAAATGTCCTCATGTTTTTTTCAAGAGAAGACTTTAAAAAATCAGTTTACTTGAACAATAGACAAAGCCTTTCATATTCCTATAATAGTTACTTTGTCCTTTTTATTATTCGTTTCTTTTCTTCTTCTTCTTTTTTTTTTAAAGGAGTCCCTATTTGCTAAAATTTCTTGTCGGTTAATTAGCTATATAAAATTCCTAAAAATATATATAAATATAAATATATCTATATATATATATATAACGTCAGCTTGTGAAGCATCAATGTCATTATTATTTTATTTCTCTCGTGGGAAAACGATATTTAGGTGTGTTTCGTTGTTCAGCAAAATGTCTTATAACGAGAAAAAAAAAAAGATCAGTGGAGTTTAGTGCCAAATTCTGAAGGTACTTCCTGCCTAGCGCGTCAGTGTACTTCTTGTGAAATGATTTGATAACATGGGTATTTTATTATAAGTGTTTTGTATGGATCCCTCATATTTAAAAAAAAATATAGATTTAAAAAAAAAAAGAGTTTGTTAACTTGCTATTCTGTGGTCTTGTTGCCTGAAAAAAAAATGTCATGTTTGCTTTTTTTCTTTGTAAAGATGTACAAAAAAAAGAAGAAAAAGTTCAAAAAAAGTGCCCATGTGTCATATATATATATCTATATACACGCACACACGGACACGGACACACACATTCTCGTGCAGACCTCACAGTTTTTTACTTTCTTTGTTGTGCAATGAGAGCCCCTGAGTGTGAAAAGCCTCCGCAGGAAACCCCGCTACGGCCCGCCCAGCGTGCACACACACACTTTAAAACACAAGATATTTTTAGCCATTGTACAGCCGTTTCACTCATCGAAGCCTTACCACCAAATCTTTGCACTCCTCTTCCTCTCTCTCTATTAGTATTCGCACACAAACACGGGCGTCGGGCTTCAGCGTGAATCGTTCTGATTGTTTTCCTCGCACACTCAAGGTGAGAGTCATACATACGCGAAGCCTTATTTCTCTAAAATCCCTTTTTTGTTGAGTTGTAGCCGTGCGTCACTCGCCTCAGACGGGAGGCGAGAGGATCATTACTTTTTGTGTATCACCTCAGACGAGCGTGCGTTTTCTTTCATGATGTAAGCACAGGGCAAGACTCGCTCAGTCATTCCATCTTTTGAGGGGCGGGGGAGGGAGAAAAAAAAAAGCACACAAGATAGTCGAGAGAGAGAGAGGCGGGACGGTCCCGAAGCAAGTTTGACTCGTTTCTCCTTTGATTTTTTTTAATCTTCCATCAGGGTGTAAGACTTCTACCAGGTGTGAGTCTTATCTGCGGGCCAAAAAAATCGTGTTGAGATGCCAAAGTGTGTTGACGACGTCCTCATAGTCGAGCCGTTTACATGGCACAGTGTTGTCAAGTCTATTCAACTGCCCACAAAGCCCCCCCCCCCCCCCTCCCTGAAAGCCTAGTTTACGCTCTGCAAAAAAATAAAAGGAAAAAAAAAAGAAAAAAAAAAGGCAGCATTATTTTCTACAAAAGCTCACCAGTCGCCTTAAAAACAGGGAGCGTTGTACCAGTATTATAACAGTATACGATGTTGTCAGTTAAAGTCAGTGATGTGTGCCAAGTCCAGGTTCACGTTCATGTACCGTTAACCTTCCATCTGTCCGAGTCCGGGCCCGTTTTATTTTTTGTCCTTGCAGCGTTAAAGGAAGGAGAGAACACCACGGCTCCTCCGCCTGGTTGTTGTCTCCCCGGCCAACCTGGGTTATTAGAAACTGGAGCTACGAGGAGAGGCGTCTTATTGGAGTAGCGACAGGGGAAATAAAGCGCTCGTTGGCTGCAGAGGAAGGGGTCACGACGTCCGCCGGTCCACACAGGCAAAACAACCGCCGCAAGCCGAGATGAAGGCAATACAGCTTTCATTATCCTCTCAAAGACCCCGACCCAATACCAAACTTTACAAACAGGGAGGCGAGTAGACTTTTTTTTTTTTTTTTCAATAAAATGCAGTATACATATGAGCAGTGCCACAAACAGCCATAACTACCTGTATGAAAAGCTGGACAAAGAAAGAGTCCCAGTTCTAATCAGTGTTATAGAGGACCAGTTTTTTGTTTTTTTTTCTGACTGCCGTGCGTGTTAACGATTGCACATTTTCACGTCGTCACTTCTCCGCCGCACAATTTCCTTGAACGTACATGTGGAGGTTTCATATAAAAAAAGTGTGCTGTTGCAAGTTGACACCGAGCACAGGCTGTTCTTATTCCCAGCTCGTCGAATGCAGCGCCCGAATTACGACCCTGCAGGAAGCCTCATGACTGGACGCAGTTTCTTCCTGTGGCATCTTGAGGCTTATAGAAAACTAGATATTCCCAAATGTTACTTAATTTTTAGGTCGTCCACCAACGACCCCAAGGAACCTATCGCACCGTTTCCACCAAGCGGTTCTGGTTTGGTTCAGTTCAGTTTGGTACGGTAAACCCTGATCTTGCTTTGGTTTCCACAGCCAACCGCGCCCTTATTTGGTAAGCAGATCGATCATTAATTAAGTCCAACGAAGAAGAAGAAAAAGAACGGGACACAGTAAACTTACATTTAAATTTAGGGTCGGATCAGGACCCTTGGTACCCCAACAGAAGGGTACCAAAAAAGTAAGACGGTACGGATCCCTTATTTTGGTACCATTCCCAACTTTAGATGGTGGAAACGCCAATGAATGGGTACCGATCTGAACCGGAACGCTTGGTGGAAACAGGACTTTAGAGCTACAGACCAAGCTGCTGCATTTGACAAGTCTGGGGTGAGAATCCCTTAAATGGCCGTCTGTGTGATTTACGACTTTTTTTTCAACGTTCCCAGAAAAAGTACGTCCTAAATTGCCAAATCTCAGCGCGTTGCACACAGCCCGACGCCACACAGTCCGGTGCCAAACACCACCTTGTCTTTGTTTCAATGTCGAAGCACAAAAAAAGGGGTCGTAGAAAACGGGGGGGTTTTTCTGCCGAGCGGCTCGCCTCAGGGGCTTTCATGGCCGATGCTTGTTGTAATCTTTATATCTTGTCACTGTTCACTTCTCTGTTCTCCTTCTTTCTTAATTATCTTAAGTGCTATTTATCAAACAATGAAAATCTGAAAGGACAAAAAAAAAAAAAAAAAAAAATTTGAACTTGTCGTTTCTTTGCATTATGGCTTATGTCAAAAGTTTTTTGAGGAAAAATGTTTTGTGTGTTCTCTTTCCGTGCCGTAAAAAAAAAAAAATGAGCTTGTTGTCTGTAGAAATTATCCAATTTTTTTTTTCATTTATTGTTTTTGTTTCTTTTTAATTCTCAAAAACGTTTTTGTTTTTTTTCAGTAGTTTTATTGTCTTGAGAGAAGCCAAAGTCAATGCATTTCAGTGGATCCTGTAAGCGTGATGTATGTTTGTTTGACAACACTTGGAAAAATCTGTCACTGGATGGGATTTAAAAAGTACAAAAAATGCAGGCTTTCCTATTTCTACAACTGATTGTACTTATGCATTTTGTACCAGTGGAATTTTTTATACTGGAGATTAAAGGATACAACAAAAAAAAATCTTAGAAAAAACGCTGTCTGGCCTGGTGGTGTGGCCTGACCCTGACTGGTCCCCGAGTATGATTTCTAGCTGGCATCAAGAACGTTGGCTTTTGATATAAGATTTTCTAGAAGATCTTTGGCTTTATTTCTTTCACTTCTTTTTCCTCACTTCAGTGTTGATCTTCCTTTCCACCTTTTCTTTCTTTCGTTTCTTACTTTGTTTTTTTCCCAGAAAAAAAACAGAGGGTAGGTGAGTGTTTTTCTTTTTTCTGTTATTTTATTTTTATTTTTTTGCTTTTTAAATAGTTCTAGCAAGTTTGTCTATACAACAGCAGTAAGTTTCATTTGACTTCTGTATTGTGCCGTCTACACGATAAAGACAATTATAGAAAAAGAAGGAATAGAAATATTTAGTCACCTTCAGTGGATTAATGTATTAGTTTAATAAAGAGATCAACTAATTAGAAATCTTTTTGCTTTTAGCTGTTTAGATTTTTCCGGTTTCTCTGTCCTTCTCTGTGAACTAACTGTGTAGCTGAAGCAGTCAGAATTATTTTTGTAAACGTATGTTCTTGTGTGATGCAGTTTTTTGCTTCTGTCTCCTATATTAAACCATTTTTCCTAATACTTGTCTCTCTCTGTGTTGTTATGTTCCAGTGGCTGTCTGATGTTGTACTGTTTCTCAACCTCTCCCTGCCATTCTTCTCTCTCTTCCTCTCTCTTTCATAGTCTCTCTCATTCTATCTTTCCCCCTTCGTGTTCACATTTTTTGTTTCTACCACATAGTAAAGTTGACTCCATCCCCAGTGACAACTCACTATGCTGTCGTTCTCACCAAACATAGTAAATATACATCAGAGTGTGTGTATGTATATTACTGTGTAGCCCAAGTCCATGCGTGACAGTCGAGCGATTAAGACAAACAATCGAGCGTAGTCCGGGGAACCCTCCAATCGTTGAGATCTCAGCTAAAATGTTTGACTTATTAAGAAGCAGAAAGCATGTCAGCTAGAATCTTAAGGGAATAGTTTGACATTTTGGGAAATAGGTTTTAAAATGTAAGGTCATGCAATACATTTCTGCCAAAATATTTCTGTATTCAAGCTTGGTGCTATCAAAACTACATGTATGGCTAGTTCGCTAACCAAAAACTAGCTAGCCTGCTAACCGAAAGCAAAAGCATGTATGTTAGCAAGCTTGCTGACTTTTTTATAGTGAGTTTTGTAACATTAATTCACTTATCTCTTTACCAAAAAAACTTGCTGGATTGGGATCCTTGGAGTCCTTGTTACGCAGATAATTCTAATGGCAAACGTCTTTTTGACCTTTTAGCTTAAATGAATAGCTGGACATTTAGGGAAGTACATTTAATTGTGCTCCTGAATACACTACGTGTAGGGTTAGTTCTTAAGCTACCATCCAGCTAACCATCCAATATAAGGCTCGCTAGCTAGCTAGCTAGGCGTATACTAGCTGGCCAGTTGTTAATCACCTGTAGCTGGCAGGCTAACCATCTAATAAAATGCTCGCTAGCTAGCTAAGCGCATACTAGCTGGCCAGTTGTTAATCAGCTGCAGATGGTAAGCTAACCTGCTAATAAAAGGCTAGCTATGATTATGCTAGCAGCAGAAGGTAACAAGAACCATCCAAGCTTCCTTCAATTTGTTAGTTAAAATAAAATCTGCTGTAAATTAAGCTTAGTCATGGCGTTAACATGGCTTGTATCCACTATCACAATGTTTCTCTGACAGTGGACAGTTTATATTGCGATTAACTGGCTAGCGTAAGTACTTTATTTCCCAAATTGTTGAATTAGACCTTCAGTCACAGTTTTTTATCCAGAGTTAGAGAGTTTTTTTGAACGCTAACATTTAAATTTCTTTGTCAGGATTGAAGCCTAGCACGAGCTTGAATTGGCCCATGATTAGAATAAGAGGTCCAACTCTGATCAAGGACCAGCAAACTATATTTTGGTCCGAGCGAGGGTTCCCTTTATCGGGGACACCGGCCACCGCTGTCCTCTTTCCCTGTGCTGTCCGCTGTCCTGGGCGAGACTGTCCACTGTATGTCCACTTTGTGTCCGATCCACTCCCGTATACTGTCTCACCGTCACAACTGCATCCCCAGTAGAGAGAGCGAGAGAGAGAGAGAGAGAGAGGAAAGAGAAGTCAAAGGTCTAAGTTTTCACCTTACATTCACAAGATATCAAAGAGGGTTTTTGAAGTGTTTGAATGAAACCGAGGTACTTTTTTTTAATTCACACGTTGAAGGTTACATCAGAGGAGAGATCTTCGGTTCTATAAGGTTTTTCAAAATGGGAAGGTCTGGACAATACTGGCTGCTTTTTTAATGAAATAAAAAGCGAGTTTCAATATTGGTGTAATAAATCTGCAGATTCCCTCAAGTTAAGCCAAAAGCTGCAACCTGCAAAGCATCTATATTTTTCATTTTTACAACTTGGTTCTACAAATATCCACTATTGTGTACATTATGAACTCTTGGGCACATTACGGCGTCCCCCCCTTTCATCACTGCACCAGTCCACCTAGTCTGTTATAAAATATTGATTGCAAGGGTTCAGGCAAGGCATACAATAAAGTGCCCTCAGTCTGTGGATTCTACCCATGGATAGATCGTATTAAAGCTCTATTATTGTCCATGTGTGGCCTGTAATTCAAGAGCAGGTCTGCAGCTCAGGATTTTTATTCTTTCCTGGATGTTTTTCTCTTTTGCATTTGCTTCTATCCCCCCCTCCCTTTTGTAGGATCACTTTCAGAATGAAAGCAGCCAGAAGGTTTTTTTGCACTCAAAATTGAATTGCTGCTTCTTCAATCACACATTAAGTGACCCCTTAAAAGATTCAGGAGTCCAACTGTGGGGAAAAAAAGAGAGAGTTTGACGACGACCACTTCATCACATGATGCCCAGGAGGCTACAAAACCCCCAAGGTAAGGTCCAAGGTAATAAATGAATTCAACAAATGTGAACTTTGGAAGGCCACATTTGCCAATGGCAGCACTTAGCTTCCTTCAATTTTTCCAAATAAATCAACGGTGTCCTTCTCACAGATTTGAAACAGCTTTTGGGCCATGAAGCAAAGCATTCTGGGATATTTGATTCCTTTAAAATCTTTTTTTTGAGGAGGTGCTCACACATCCAAGTATCTCATGACGTAGTTGAGTCGGACATCGAACCGTCACTTTAAAAAATAAAAAGTCCTGCACACTACTCATGCTTGGCTTCACCGAAATCCCAACGTTTGGTTGGTTCTGATCTTTTGTCAAACGGTTCAGTAGTCCCAGAAAATCTGCAATGAGAAAAATATGACAATGGACTTTCGATTTGCACAGTCCTGGGTTTAAATTCATCTTTAAAAAAGGAACAAATTATACCTGCGGCATCGATTGGGCTCAGGTTTTAGGGGAAATGAGATGAGATAAAAAATAGCCTCTCTGTGGTGGTCTTGATTTAAAATCTGGAGTCCGTCCAGCCTGAGACCGAGGCAAGACCGAGTCAAAATGCTTTCGATTCCGAGTCGAGGCCGAGACCTTCAAAAAGTGGTCTCGAGACCAAGACCGATCTTAAGTACTACAACACTATCAGATACTATCAATACATTTGAGTAAATTTGTAAAACAAATGTTGGAAAAAATGCTATTTCACATGATAAAGAAATAGAAAATAAGATATTCTAGAACCCTGACAGACTTCACAGATTGGTTCCAATCTTTCCCTCATTTCTTAAAGCCTAAAAAACCTTTAAAGCTCCTGTCATGAAGCCATTCAGCTGCTTCCAATGACTCACACGAGAATAAATCCCAACGATCAATGAGAGACTATTTATAGTGAGAGAAGAGAGCAGTGATACTGGATCTATAGACCCAAACACAGAGGCATTGTTTGCAGGAGAAAACAGTTAAAGTCACGCTCAGTTAAACACCAGAACAATGGAGGTGTGTTTGGAGAGTGCTTTGCATGCAGGTGAGATTTAGCACCATGAATGCATTATGCAGTTTATCAGCAGGCTATTTGTTGGCATCGTGTGAATTTCTTTTGAAGGTACGAGAAGCCGTTAAAACCACCAAATCTCACAGCTAGTCTATTATTCACGCCTTCACAAGGAGCAGGAAATCAAGAGAGGATGCCACAGGAGCTGAAGACACACACATACACATACAGCAGCACGCATCGGTCTTCAATCTGTCACGTTCCCGACGGAAATGCCGAGGCCCCTTCCTGTGAGGGGGACGCGACGGGACGCTCTCAGAAGCAAAGCGAGTGGGCCGGAGAGAAACATGTGAGAGAGAAATGAGAGGAAGACAACACTGTTTTGATTCAGGCTAATAAAGATGATCTGCAATATTTAAAAGCAGGAAGCACAAAAGGGAGGCATCAGAACGGCCAGAGAGTTTTCTGCACGTATAGATTAAAGTGTCAAAACAGTTATCTGTGCAGGAAGCTCAAGAGGAGGTGAAAGTCCTACAAGAAAGGAATCATGAAGGCCAGGACAATGACTAAACGCACTGAGGTCATGGACAGGATGTGTTCCCTTTTCAAATCCGGTTCAACTTTTTACTCAAGGACAGATCTCGTTCAGGAGTAAGAAAGCGTTTCCTTGTATTTTCTTCCCAATCTAGAGGATTTATGCAGCAAATAAATCAGAGAAATACATCGAAAAACATCGCTGCCGTGTCTTATAACTCACAGCCGGGATGTTACTCAGAATGTGTGTTTGGGGAGTTTAAACAGCAATTTTTATTTATTTTTTGATGCTGTGTCGTTGTATTGATGTCATGTCAGGTGCAAAAGTAGAAAGAAAAATACATTAAAAAAAAAAAAGCTCTCCTTGTGCAACATCAAGAAAGAAAAAACGTTATTTTACCATGACACAATTGTGCAAAGACAAATTGGTAAATCAGAGTCACCAAAGAACCTATTGCGAGCATGTCTTTGGAGGAAGTCAGGGAGAGCATGTACGGGGAGACAGGGGCCACACAGAAAGGCGATGAAATTCAACAAAAAGGGACTCCCATAAATACTAAACTATCATGAAATTTCACTTAACAGAGAAAAAGTTCAAACAACAAATGTACACCACAATTTTCAATAATTTAAGAATGAAATAACTTCTTCTACCGCTTTTCCCATGTGGGATCGCGGGGACCTGGAGCCGTTGGTCGAGAGGCGGGATTACACCTTGGACTGTTCTTCAGCCAATCACAGGGCTGACATATAGAGCCAGAAAACCAGCCACACAGGGGAGAACATGCAAACTCCACACAGAGAGGCTCCTGTCCGACCGGGATTCAAACCAGGAACCTCTTTGCTGTGAGGCAACAGAGCTAACCACCGTGAAGCCCAGAGCCACATTACTGAAGTATATTTAATTTTTTTTTCAGTCTTTTTTTTCAGTCTTGTACTTTAAGCTTCTGCAATGTACGCAGCCGAGTAAATTGGCTCTCAAGCTGCAAGAGCGAGACTTTTTGAACTTTCTGAAACTTTCTCTTTGAATTCACAGGAGGGTAGAAAAGAAGACGAGTGAGACAGAAAATGCTGAAATAAAAAAGCTCTCTTTGGTATGCAGGTAATTAAATTATAGTGTTGATCAAAGAAAAGGCCTGGGAGAC